GAAACCCAAGGAGGGGTCGCTATGAGTCAGGGCCGACTCGATGGCAAATAACAACAGCAACAACACTGGCTCCAGGACAGCCCTTTTGTTTACCAAGGATTAAGTCTGATTTCTAACCTCAATTCTAATAAACTTGGCAGAGCTTTGTTCAGGTGGCTTTCTGCTACATAATAGTATAATTTGGGGCAAGTTAACTTCTCTAAGATGCTGCTCCCTTATCTGTAGAGTTAACTCTTTCTTAAAAAAAAAAGTTCATAAATACCTAAACCTTCGACTGAAATATATATGAGGAAACATACAAAGAAATACTTTTCTTAAACTCTCAACTCACATGGAGCAGCTAACTTTTTAGAAAAGGAAGGCACAGCCGTTGGTCCCTTGCATTGCTTGGACTACCATTGAGTGACTGTCAGGCTGATAGAAGTATAGTTTCTGTCCTTTGGCTTGCAAGGGTTCCCACAGTATGGCCTCATTTTACCTTTTGAGATATCTACCCTCTCATCTTTTTTTTTTTTTTTAATAATTCTATTGTGATTTGGGTGAAAGTTTATGGAGCAAATTCATCTTCCATAAAGCAGTTCACATACACTTTGTCTCATGACATTGACTGTAATTTCTCATGGTGCAACAGCTCTCCTCCCACTTCCTCTCATAGTCACTTCTTACCTATGTCCTTCCCTTCCATACACTCCTACCCTCTGAGCTGTCCTTTCTCCCATGATTGTTCTCTCCAAGGAGTGTATCTACCTAATGTGAATGTTCAGCTCATATGCCTGTCTTTTGTTTGGCTGGAAATGACAGGAATGGGTTCAGTTCAAGACCTGAAGGGCAGCTAGGGGCCATAGTCTTAGGGGCTCCACCAGGCTCTATCAGACCAGCAATCCTGGCCCCTGGTTTGTTTTTGTTGATTTTTTTTTTTTATGATTTGGAGTTTTGTTCCACATTGTTCTCCCACTCTGTCCAGGATCTCCTTCATAGACCCCCCTCTGAGTGGTTGACAGTGGTAGCTAGGCACCATTTAGTTCTTCTGGTCTCATGTGCATATAGGTTGAGTATGGCATCGTGTACCAGTCCCTGGGACTAATTGTTTCCATGAATCTTTTGTTTTCTTCATTCTTCTTTGCAATGAATGAGGAGAGGCCCATCATTGTATCTAGATGGCTGTTTGCAAGCTTTTAAGATGCCGGTGGCTACTTGCCAAAGTAGGATGTGTAACAATGTTTTTGTGTAGTATGTTATGCCAGTTGAGCTTAATGACCCCTGCAACCATGGTCCCAAGCCCACAGGTCCAATACTTGCTCCCTCCAGGTAGCTGGCTGTGGCCAACGAGTGACTCCAAACTTGTCCCTTGTCAGCTCTACTACATACCTGGAAATTCTTACAGAACATATAAATACACTTGTGGAAACACTGTCTGCCAACCCTAAACGTGGTCATGAGCACATTACCCCCTCCATAGACATACCTAATCGTTCATTCTGTCCACCCATCTATCCACCTGTAGATCAATGTTTGCCATCACTGACAACGCAGTGCTGTAGTACAAAAGTCTACCCTCTCATCTTGTGTAATCTCCCTATTTCCTTCCAAGCCCCACTACGCATTATGGTCATTTCCCCACCATTTCTGCCTCTGTGCCTGTGCTGTCAAACCACTGTTTCCACCTTCCTTTTAAAATCCAAATCTTAACAGTTATTTCTAGAAGGAGTGGGGTGGGAGTGAGGTAGGCTGAGGTAACTTTTTTCATTCTCAGTGCATTCTGAATTACTTGACTTTCAACTGTAAGCTGGTGTTGATTTTTTTTTATCTTTTATTTATTAAATTTTTACTGTGATTTGGGTGAAAGTTTACAGAGCAAATTAGTTTTCCATACAGTAGTTCATACACATTTTGTTTCATAACATTGACTGCAATTCCCCAAAATGTAACAGCTCTCTTCGTACTTCCTCCCTGTAGTCACCTCTTTCCTGTGTCCTCCGTTCTTTGCACTCTTGCCCCCCAAGCTGTCTCCCTGTGCAAATACTGCCCTTCTGTTCTCCAATGAGTGATCATTCTAAGGAGTGTATCTACCTGTTATAAATGTTTACCCTATATGCCTGTCTGTTGTTTGACTGGAAGCCACAGGAATGCATTCAATTCCAGATCTGAAGGCTAACTAGGGGCCATAAGCTGAGGGGTCTCTCCAGGCTTTATCAGACCAGTAAGGTGGTCTTTTTATGATTTTAAGTTTTGTTTCACATTGTTCTCCCACTTTATCCAGGATCTCCTGCACTGATCCCTTTCTGAGTAGTTCACAGTGGTAGCTGGGCACCATCTAGTTCTTCTGGTCTCATGGTCATATAGGCTGCAATTGACATGGTCTACTAGTCCCTTGAACTAATTGTTTCCATGTGTCTTTGGATTTCTTCATTCTTCTTTGACATTTTCGATGAGGAGAGATCCATTGTTGCATCTAGAGGCCGCTGGCAAGCTTTTAAGACCCCAGTTGCTACTCAACCAAAGTAGGATGTAGAACAGTGTTTATGTGTGGTATGTTATGCCTGTGTCCCCTGTGACCATGGTGGTGGTAACTTTTTTAATAGAAGGGACTAAAACCATTAAAGAATAAAATAACTATTCTTCAAACTCACCTCATTCCACATCCTTTATAGAGTCTTACTTGGGTTTTCATACTTTGTCCTGGCTCCCAGGAAGACTAAACCAGCTTTAAACTATTTTATATGTGTCTCTCTCTGGGCATATATGCTGTTTGACCTTACATTTTAGTTGTGTACTTTTCCCAGTCATCACAATCCATCTCTCTGCACCAGATAATGATGCTGTCTTAAATAATATTCCCACCTTTGTAACCCCTTCTACCACCTACCACATGTTGTTGTTGTTCTGTGCTGTCAGTCGGCCCCAACTCATAGCGAGCAACCCGTCCCTGGGTTTCTGAGGCAGTATCACTATGGAAGTAGATTGCCCAACCTTCCTTCCAAGGCGTGGCTGATGGGTTTGAACCGCCAGCCTTCTGGTTAGCAGTCTAGTGCCTTAGGCACTATGCTACCATAGTAGGTGGGGTTAGTATATGTGAGGGTTGAATGACTTGACTGGAGATAGGGATTTATTTCTATGAGCTACAATTAAGGGATTTGAGAGAAATTTAAAATTTAGCATTGAATTAAAATCTTACAGATCTAGGGTTTCTTTTGTGACCTGATTCTGTGCTTCAAACTCATTTTATAGAAACTGTATTATCAGTGTATTAGTTTAATTTCATTATTCATAATTTCACAGTAGTCAGATTTTGTTTTTTACTTTATGAATTTCAGAATTTCTGTGCTTGTTATTTACCACTGTGGTATAGTACTTTAGCAGCTTTCAACCCTGGTTGCACATAAGAATTATTGGGGAGCCTTTTAGAAATACCAATGCCAGATAATAAATAAGGGTGGCACCTGGACATTTTCTTCAAGCTCTATGGGTGATTCTGATAAGCAGTCAGGTTTTATGAGAACCTTGGTATCAAAAACTACGAGGGAAAAACACACTGTATCCCCAGTGCCCAGCACTGTCTGCCACATAGTTGACTCTGAAATATTTTATTCAGTGTTTTTCTATATCCTGGGCCTCATCATATTTATTGTTAAATCTGATTTGTAATTATAAATTTGGATTTGTAAAAAATATTAGAAATCTCATTTTACAAATAAGGAAACTAAAATCAGAAGTAAAGTGAAATGTCTAAAATAACATAGCTTGTTAAAACCAGGCCTCAGAACTCTACTGTTGTTTCCACTGTAGCATTTTATTGATGATTATGAAATGGCACTGATTTTAATGTGATAGAAAACTGTCATTTGCTCATAGAATAGGTATGTCCATTCATGCCACTCTAAGGAACTATGGGATTTAGGTTACTTAATCATCGTGTCTTGCTCTTGTTTAGCACAGGTTTTGCTCCTGCCATCAAAAGATCAGAAGACGGGTATGGAGGCAAGCTGATAGAGCAGAGTAATGCCCTTAACAGCTGGGCATTTTTCTTAGGCACCTGACTCCTGAGGCTGGCTTCAGCATGTGGAAACCCTGCATCTCAAATATTTGCCTGTTTATAGCTCTTAACATAACAGGGTTTGCTTAGTCAGTTGTAGGTTTTCTTTGTAATGAGTCCTCAGAGTAGTATGTGTCCTGATGTCCAGTTCTGTATTCTTTAGGCACCATTCAGGAAGATTACCTGAGAGAGCTGCTGACAACCATGGGCGATCGGTTTACGGATGAGGAAGTGGATGAGCTGTACAGAGAAGCACCTATTGACAAAAAGGGGAATTTCAATTATATTGAGTTCACGCGCATCCTTAAACATGGAGCAAAAGACAAGGATGACTGAACGAACTTCAAATCCAGCCAAACGTTCCTTATTGCCACTTTGGGTATTTCTGAGACTTTTTCCTCTTAGAATCTATTGCATGCCCTTAGCTTTATAGCTTTCGCCTTTTTGTTGTATTTATTTTCAGTCATTTTGGGCACATACATCTCTATAATCAGACTGGAAATGGGAATTAAGTTGAAGTAAAATAGAACTGGGGGAAAGGTCTTTGCTTTACCAAAACCTATGAAAATATTCTCAGATTTTTTCTGGCTTACTGGATTTTTACATTTTTGGTAATAAAAACTTTAAAAAAAAAGATTATGACCCAAGTCACCTAATGTTAATTATTTTTGCCATTTTTAGAATAGAAAACTAGGGTGATTTAACTGCCCAGCTCCTCCCATTCCCAAATAATTGCAGCATATACAGAATCACAGTTTCTCAAAGTTATCCACTCATTTTTTTTCCTGAACCATAATTAAACTTTATGATGAAATGCTTTCTTGTTTAAAACTTATTTATCAAAATTGGCTTTCCTCCACCAATTTCATCTTCCAGAGAAAGGTAGGTGAGGTAAATCCTAGAAAGTGATAGAGTTGTTGGCCACCTATTTCATATTCCTTCCAGTTGTCCTGACAATCCTATTTCTTTTACTCCTATTCATCCCTCCCCCACCTGAAAAAAAATTCATTTTTAACTATGTCATTCAGGTTTCCAAGGAGCTCTGGTGGTGTAGTGGTTAAGGCATTCGGCTGCTAACCAGAAGGTCGAAGGTTTAGATCTACCAGCTGCTCTGTGGGAGAAAGATGAGGCAGTCTCCTTCTGTAAAGATATACAGCCTTACTAACCCTGAGTTGGAATCTACTTCAGTGACAATGGGTTTGGTTTTATTTTAAAATCAGATTTCCTGTTCTTTGTCTTACTTTAAAAAAAAAAAAAAAAATTCCTGTAGAATTTACATGGGTATGATAGCTTTGGTAGCTTTAAATCCTTAAGCTTGACATATCTGCCAAAATTTCCCCATTATCTATTCTAACCTTTTGTACATTATCTCATGTCAATTAAAATGAGACCAGGACACGGAATAAAACTTTAATTTGTCCTGATTTTTGAAACCTTTTTAGTCCCAAGGGTTCTATGGAATTCTTTTACCAAAAGACAGTTTTTGCATGGGGGTAGGTATTTCAAAGTGTTAGAAATACAGGGGTTTTTTTTTGTATGTGGTTTTTCTTTAGCACAGCAAACCCTATTGAAGTATTGTAATTATTTATGTAGAGAGTAGCTATGAGTCCATGTATGAATTATGGACATTCCTGACTGCCCACAATCAAAACAGCTGAAACTACATGCCTGGGAAAGTGAGATCATTATTTCAATCCTTAAAATAACCTACTTACAAAAATGCAGGATGATCTTAGAATTATTCAGGGGGTGTTACGACTGTTTCATTCTCTTTAGGCTTTAAAAATCTGACTCTCAAAAATAATTTTATGAATTTAAGATCTTGAAACATTGAAAAAGGTTTAAGAGTTTACAGTTAGTCTAATATGAGTAATTGACAATTACTCTAATAACTCAGGTTTTCTGTTAGTGTTGATAAGACTTTCCTTGGACAAAACTATTACCTCATTTGACAAACAATTACCAAATCGTTGGGCAGTGAGCTTTTGCACTCAACAGGATAGGTAAGGTAGCTGCTTCCACCTGGTGAGGCCAGCTTCGTAGAAGGATCAATCACAAGATTCCTTTTTTCTCTTTCAAGACTAGAATCTCCACCTGCCTTAATTCTTTGCATTTATGAACTCCTGAATTTTATTATGCAGTTTAAACAATGTCCTTTTTCTAGCTTGTGGCCATGATGCTAAAATTTTGTTTGTTGAATTGAATTTCCATTTCAACTGAAAAAATGGATCACCTCTGCTTTGCTTACAAATCTCTAGTGGAGAACTGATAGCTTCATTATTTTCGTTACAGAAAAAAAATGATCTCATGTACTGGAATTTTCTCTGGCAGTATCATCCATTTCAGATAACTGCTTAAGGAACCAGCCTCCTAGGAACAATGGATGGTTTCCCTGAATGAAAGAAGTCTCCCAATTTAAGTAATAGCTTAGTAACTAGTCTTAGCTTAAGCAACTATTATTGCCAATAAAAAGCCAATAGCATTTACTGGAACAGCAAGTTTCACTAGAAAGCTAATCTTTTAATCTCCATGATAAACGTCTTACTTAAAACTTTCAGAAGTTCTAGATGAAACCATCGAAATGGGGGGACAGCATCCTTACAATAATAATGGGGACTCCAGTGCCCCCATTTTATTTGATCAGGAGGCTTAAGACTTAGAGCAGGAATTGATGAATGCTGATGGAAAAGAAGGAAGGAAAGGCAGACTGTAAGAAACAAGTCAAAACTTAAGTTTCAAAAGGAAAGGCAACCATTTTCTACAAAATATGAATGAGAAAACAGCAATGTCAGCAACTAGCAGACATTGAAGAACGATCAGAAGATGATAAAGGGGGTTAGAGAGGTGAATAAAGTTGCAGTTAGTCGGTAGTGTAAAACCACAAAAATATCAAGTAGGGGAAAGTTTAAATAAGGTGTTGGGATTTGGCGAATCATCAGTCACCTCTGCTAGAGCTGTAAGAATCTGCAGTGCAGAAGCCAGAGGGCAACACGGGATGGGGGACAGCCTGAGTTTGAGGGTCAGGAAGACCTGCATTTAAATCCCATTTGTTTTTCCTCTTCATCATGACTTTATAATCTTAAGCATTTAACCTCCTTTGACATATTCACTTGTAAAATAGAAGTAATGCTATTGGAATGTAATCTATTAATACAAAGGCAGAAATTTTGGGATTAAGAGTAGCATGGGTTTTGAAGTCAGCCTTGGTTGCACTTGAGTTCCATTATTTGGTTAGCTTTGTATCCTTGGGCAGGTCAAATGTCAGTTTCCTTACCTGTACAATGAAGACAGTACCCTCCAAGTTTGTTGTGAAAATTAGAAACATGAAAAGTAAAGGGTCTGGCACGTGGTAGGTATTCAAATGGTAGTTACCATTGTTTTATTTTTACTAGTGGGGTCATGAAATTTGGCAGTGAAGAGAAGCTCTAAGGGAAAGTTCTCTTTTAAGGGAAGAGTCCAAGGGTATGTAGAGAGTCCAAGGGCATGCAGAGAGAGTGGAGCCTGTTTGTAGGCAGAGGGGCAGAAAACAAACTAGACGAAAACAGTGAAACAAAATGAACCATGCCAAGGAGAGAGGGATGGAACCTAAATCGCATGTTTTAGAATTATCCTTAGAAAAATAAAGATGGATACATCTCCCTCTGAAAAGAGAAAAGGACAGGTGAAGATAGCATTTTAGTAGTAGTTAGAAATAAGTAAAGGCTTAGGTTAGAAAGATCCATAGTTGTTTGATAGTAAATTATTTCAAACTAGCATTTTGTTAGATTAAAGGGTTATCAGTCGGGTTTTAGTTTTTATTTGTTTTTTCAGTTGGCTTGGCACCTAGCGGATCCTCAGTTTATTTCAGATTTCTTGAGTAGGTCCAATATGCCAGACTCCGTATGCTTCATTTGGTCTTATGCATACAGTTAAGGAGCTATGGTGGTGCAGTGGTTAAGGCATTTGGCTGCTAACCCGAAGTACAGCAGTTTGAACCCACCAGCTACTCCACAGAAGGAAGACAAGGCAGCCTACTTCCTTAAATATTTATAGCCTTGAAAACCCTATGGGGCAGTTCAACTCTGTACTGTAGGGTAGCTATGAGTCAGTGGATTTTTGGGTTTGTGCATACAAAATTTCCCTGAAACTGGTTTTATCATTGCCGTCCTCAGTGGGGTTGCTGGAGCTAATCCCATGTTGAAGAATGCTGCCCAGTTTCTGCAGTGTGGTTTATCCTGTTTCCACTTGCTCTTCCAACATCAAGTTCCTGTGTCCTTTCATTCTAGATTTCTTAACATGCTTGCTCAAATAGCAGGAGTCACAACTTGTCTCCAGTGTTTATCCGTGCCAGTATTTACACATGTATATTTTATAGGTGTAATGAATGTACAAATTGTTTTTTAATTTGGTATATCTTAAATCATGTTTTGGCATAGTCAGCATGGTTTTAGTTTTAGTTGTTTTTTTTTTTTAGTTTGCATCCAGGTAGTTCCCAACTCAGGAGCTTTGGTAGCATAGTGCCTAAGACACTTGACTTCTAACCAGAAGGCTGGTTGTTCAAACCCACCAGTCACTCCTCAGAAGGAAGGTTGGGCAATCTACTTCTGTAGTGATACTGCCTCGGCAACCCAAGGAGGGGTCGCTATGAGTTGGGGCCAGCTCAACGGCACATAACAGTAGTCCCCAACTCATGAGGGGATTCTTTTCCAACAACTCCATTGCAATTCAGTTCTGACCTAAGTCAAATACCTCTTTTTTTGTTTTTAGTTTTCACTATTACTCCCTTTGATTATCAGTATCTTTATAAATCTGATCTTTGTGTTTGAGGGTTGGAAACATTACATGTAAACTTACAGATATACTTTAATGTATATATACATACAAAAATGGATGACACTGGCATTTTGTCAGTTGCTGTAATTCCACTTGTGGAAGGTTCTGGATTATCCCTGGGAATGGTGATAGTGTTTCTAGTCAAAGAATTAGTGAGAGTTGTCTGTGTGGTCCTTTTACGTACTGCAACATATTATATACTCACTGTTGTGGAGTCGGTCCCAACTTCCCAACTCATAGCAGCCCCTCCTTGGGTTTCCAAGGCAGTATCTCTACAGAAGTAGATTGCCTGGTCTTCCTTCCGAGGAGTAGCTGGTGGGCTTGAACCGCCAGCCTTCTGTTAGCAGTCAAATGCCTTAGGTACTATGCCACCATAGCTCTTAACATAGTATATAGTACATTAATGATTTTTTTTAAATACACAGATGATCCTAAGTGCCGTTCATAGTAACTCAGATATGTAGGGCACTACCTGTATTTATTACCTTTTAAAACCATTCTTTTTAATGAGTTGGTTTTGGCATGGATATGCCATAGTTCACTGAGTCCCACACACTAGATGTTTAGATAACTAGCTTTTTATTTTAATACATATTCTAAGTTTTGTTTTGAGAAAGAATATGCCTTAAAATTATTTTTTAGAACAATACTGTCTAGTAGAACTTTCTGTGGTGATGAAAATGTTCTCTGTACAG